AATTTTGCTGAAACAAGGGTCCCGCTCGAGCATGGATTTCCCTGCTCGAGCGGACATGCAGAAAAAATAGCCTCGCTCGAGCGTAACCTACTCCACTCGAGCGGACTGCAAAAGTACTAGATGGGTGAAATTCACGCTCGATGGGCGCTCGACCCCCGCTCGAGCGTGAGACAAGTCCTTGCTCGAGCGCGCATTCCCCCGCTTGAGCAGACTGTAAACACATACAAAGTACTGGATACACGCATTTCCCGCTTGAGCGTCACTTTCCCTGCTTGAGTGGACAGTATGAACACAGGTTGTACGCTCGAGCGTGGAGTCCCCCGCTCGAGCGTGAGTCCAAATTCTGGAAATTCCAGATTGAACCTTCAAGCTCGAAATCAACTTTAAATGTACCAAAAACGATCCTTTTAGGCTAATTTTCTGGAAAACACTTGTAAACCCATAATATGGCATGTTTCAAAAATCAATTTGAGAAATCAAAGCCCAAAGGTAGTTCAATTGAACACAATTTCAAAGAAGTTTTCATGAACATGAAGAACAATGCAAATTCAACACATGCATGGGTTCCTAGGAACTCCAATGCTACAAAACAAGATCAAGTGCAATGTTTAACTTCAAAACATGGTGAGTTCATGGATCAAGACTAAAAATATGAACATGCATGAAGAAATCCTCATGAAACAACTTCAAAACTCAACAATATGAACATGCATGCATGATTCAAGTTTCAATTCAACAATTTAAGACCAATCTATGACCTTAGGCTCCTATCTACCGTGCGCCATGCAAGAACTAACTTGAATTCACAAACAAGAAGGTAAATGTCCTACCTTAGGTCTCCAATTTCAAGTGTGGGAGTCTAATTTTGCAATCTCCTCTTCAAGTCTTCTAAATTCAAGCAAGGTTTTTAGTTGAACTCAATTTTCTTCCAAGTCTCTCTCTCTAGTCGGTTTTGGGTCAAGGAATAGGTAAGGAAGAGATATGAATTAAGTCTCAAATGTTTTATGAGATGGCCCACTAACATGGCATTTTGGTAACTAAGTCCAACTAATGCAATACAACATTATTTAATCTAATTTAATCATACAAAATCAAATTTCAATTAAACATACCATAAAATCATATAAATTCCAATTAACACAAAACACTAATCGGTTCCTGATTCGACCGCCGATAAGGCCTTCAATTTGTAGTTTAAACATAATACATGAACAGATAATTCAACAGTCAACAAATAGAAATACACTTAAGCTATACACTCAATCAATCAGTTCAGGATTTCAGTCAATCAGTCAGTTAACATGCTTAATCGTATAGATTAGCACTAATCAGTGGTGAGGGTTGTCACAAAGCACCTCCAATTGTGATAAAAAAAACCACGGCCAACAGCCACAAAACAATCCACTAAGAAGATATAAAGGAATTACACAGGTATACTCTCAATTACCTAGCGAATCCACGCCTGAATTGAACCAACCCCTATGTGCCTCTTCCAACCCTGTCTTCACCTCGAAATTGTCTTGATGATGAGCCACTCTAGAATCCACCAAAGCTTCGGGCTAGAATTCTCCAGAATTTACTGAAAAACAACTCTCTTTTTTGTATAGAATAAACAAACAAACCTTTGATGTATGCTTCTTAAACCATGAGTTGAATATTCAATGAAACATCAAAGAAAACTAGCGAAATAGCCCCAGATATAAACCCTAGAACCCAAGAAGAAGATCTGGAGGCGTTACCCTAGAATCTGACTTAACTACGTATTTATAGAAAACTGTCCCGTGATCTCCGCTCGAGCGTCAAATTGGCCGCTCGAGCGGACCTACACTCGAGCGCGAAAAAACAACATCCAGTATTTTTACAAGCGAATAAACTTCTGGAACTCAGCATTCTCCGCTCGAGCGGGAAAATGTCCACTCGAGCGAACAGGCAACTTTGAATGCATTTTTGCATTTTGGCATTTTGCTTCGGGGGCACTACCCCTCGACCCCGCTGTGGCGCTTCCCCCTGGACCCCCGCGAGTTAACCGAGCAACTCGATCCCTATTATAATCAGCGAAGTGGCAATCTTGAAAGAATTAACATCATAAAACTTCTCTGCAAGGCACAATTCGGGTTGGATTTGCATCTAAAAACGCATAACCTCACTGAAATAAAAAATGCGAAAACAAATACAACTTAAAGGAGTTTTGTCAAACGGAGTTGCCAAGAATAAAAACCTAACACAAAGTGAGTAAGATAAGCAAAAGCAACTGAAATAGATAATACGCCTGAAGCTCATGTATAGTTGTTCTCCTGTTCATGACCAAGATAAGCAAAAGCAATTGAAAATATCAAGTCCGTTAATATTACCCCAACAATCTCTAAGAGAATGAGTCGATACCTATTAGTCTTGTATGTGCAATCCATAATCAACACATGTGGAAATGCACTTAACAACTCCAAACTAACCGGGTGTGCCCAGAACAAATCAGTGACCATCTCTCTATCATCACATCGATGCCAATCAACATAATTTTGAATCAACAATTGCCCAATAATTGTTGCATCTGTGATTTTCCCGCCCTTTGTATTGCTCAATGTCGATGACGTGTGTTGTAGATTGTCTTCATTGTTGTCACATTACAGGCATCCCTTCGTTTCAATGTAACCAATATCTCTTTTGGTCGCACCATACTTTTTGACATGTCAACTAATAAGGATGTTTTCTCTGTAGATAATCTGCCAACAAATGAGTGCCTTTCAAGATGTTCAATAGACGGATGATTGTGTACTCCGCATAAGACATGTAACATTCACTCATCATTTGTAGGTAATTTTTCTCCCTTTAATTGAAATGGACATCCACACTTTTTAAAACTTGTCAACCTTAATCGTTCCCCTTTGATCTTCCTGTTGTCTCTATAGTAACCACTTCTTTCACAAGCAAGGGTAAGTCTTGGTTTTCTGCCATTACCTCTCGCATCTGATGTCTTTGTAACAATGACAAATCTAGTCTTCTTACCAATGTCAGAAGCTCATTTAATAAATGCTTGGCAATAGAGATAGCAATTTAAACCCGGCCCGATGGGGACCCGACCCCCCGACCCCGATTAACGCGGGATTTCTCCAAAAAATACTCCTGACGGGCCGGGGACGATATTCAAAAAAAAATCCCTGATCATTTTCAGGCCGGGGACGATGACAAGCTCTTCCTCCCCGACCCCAGCCCCGGCCCCGTTCCCTGTCCCCATTTCTCCCCGCCTCCCTCTCCCTCTCCCTCTCCCTCTCACGATGATAAGTTCTTCCGCCCCAGCCCTGGCTCGACCCCGGCCCCGTTCCCTGTCCCGTTTCGCCCCGCCTCCCTCTCCCTCTCTCATTTCAGATCTAATACATTTCAGGTCTAATATGTTATACTCATCTAATATAATATAATATTATATCTAAAAATTATAATATATACTCATCTCTCTCTCTTATTTCAGATCTCATCTCTCTCATTTCAGATCTCTATCTCTCTCTCATCTCAGATCCTCTCTTCCTCCGCCGCTGTCTCTCGTCTCCCCGCCGCTATGGTCGCACTCCGCCGCTTGCTCTTAAGCTCGTTGCACCAGAGCTTTGACAGCTCTGCCGCTCGTCGCTCCACACCACTACAACCAAAGTCTCCGACTCTCCGTCGCTTTGACAGGTCCACCGCCATGGTCACTCTCTCAAGCTCACCGCCCGTCACTGATCAAGACCTCTCTTCTCTCCCTATGTGTCTATGTGTGTTTGTGATGATGATGATGATGGCGACTCAGATCTGCAGATGTGTGTGTACTCTGTGTGTGTGTGTGTGTGTGTGTGTGTGTGAGAGAGAGATGATGATGATGATAATGTGACGACTTAGATCTCAAATGTGTGTGTGTGTATGTGTGATGACGATGACTCACTCAGTTCTGTAACTCCGTCACCGTCAGGGATTTTACGGGGTCGGGGAAACCCGATCCCCATTAGGGGACGGGGGTGGGGGGAGTGAGGGGTTCCCCGTCGGGGATCGGGATCGGGGTCGGGGACGGGGAGTTCCATACTTTCGGGGATCGGGGATGGGAAGGGCAATCCCCGGCCCTGCCCCGCCCCGTTGCCATTCCTACTTGACAACTACTAAAAATCTAAACATAATAAATATATTTATACATCAAATTATTAATAAAATTCAATACAAATTAAAAATAAGAAAAAATCATATTTATAAAAAAAACTTAACAAACCTCGTCTGTAATGAATTCATGACTGGAGTCCACTAATAATGCAGTACTTGCGTTGTTGCAATGAGTATAAGTATAATCTTTCTAAGCAAAAAAATAAAAAATATAAAAAAAAATAAAACTAAAAATACATGGTAATGAGTAGTCGAATAAATTTAAAAAATACGGCCTTATATTACCGTAAATGAATCTTTTATTCGACAGTTGGATACTGGACTTATATTTTTTGTTTGGCATTTTGATGGCGATCTATATTATTTTGTTCAATTTCGAAGCACCGAACAAAAGTCGAATACAAACTAAAAAAATCGAAACAAAAACTTACCAAACAAATAAAAAAACTCACTATTTTACCTTTTTGAGGTTTTTTCACTACCGTTTCTTCATTCATTACTTTATTTGATAATCAAAATATTATGAATATCACTTTTTAAAAAGAGATGTGTAAGAGAAAAGAAAAATTAAAGAAAAAAAATTAGAATAGAAATTGAAGACCAATTTGGGTAAAATTAAAAAAAAAAAAAATCTCATGTAGAAAGTATAAGAAAAATGCTTCGGACCACTAATTAGTGCTCCCACTAATTAGGTGGCAGTAGATCTCGCCATTAATGATGTGATATTTTGATCTTGGAGTTGTATTTTTTTATTTTTTTTTTACTTTTTTAATACATTAGTACTATTAGTGGTGATATTTTTAATGGGATGAATCATTGTTGAAAGTGTAAAGGGTAAAGTAGTGTCCAATCTTATTGGAGATTGACCGATCAGTCTATGAGTCAATACTCGCCGCCCAATCGTACCAAATGATAGACCGCTGAAAAAGTCTTAGACGCAGCCAATTGCGACTCATGGCGGCTATGTCAATTCAATTCAACGACGTCTCTCTCTCTCTCTCAGATAGGAGTGGAGTTTGGTGTTGAAGTCTGTTGTTATTCTCTCTCGTTTCCTCTGATCGAAACAATCACGACGATACGATGATGATGATGGAGGTAACAACAACAACAACAGCAAACCCAACAAAGCTGGATTACCACGACGACATGTGGAAGTTCCATTCCGTCTCTTCCTTCGTCTCCTTCTTCCAGGTTTCTTCTTCTTTAACTTTGACATTCCAATCCACACCAATTCATTTTAGGGTTTGTGGTTTTGATTAAATCTGTGTTGTTGTGAAAGGGTGAAGATGGTCGATGCGCTTTGATACTTGACTCCACTATCTTCTATCCCCAAGGTGGTGGTCAGCCCTCCGACACCGGTTTCATCACCATTTCTTCCCATCCTCACTTCAAATTCATTGTCAATGACGTCCGATCCAAGGATGGAATTGTGAGTTTCTGCTTCAATTCAATTCAATTCCTCTACTTGTTTTATTTCATTCGATTATCAATGTGTGTTTTTTAATTTTTTAATTTTTTATTATTTCAAAAATAACAGGTTTTTCACTATGGGTTTTTTGAGAATTCTGGGGAGGGATTTGAATCAAAACTTGAGAAAGGGGTTCAAGTTCTGTTATACGTGGATGAGTCGCGTCGCACTCTCAATTCTAGGTACATATCATATGGAGATGGGCATTTGAATTATTAGGAGTCATTGGTTGTTGTGACTTAATTTGTATTTTCAATTCCCAAGTACAAAATGCTTAACATATATATCTGTATATGCTAACTATACAAGCCATTCCTTTCTCAGCCTTTGGGCTTGGAACTAATGTACTATATGTTCTTATCATTTCAATAACTATTAAGCAAGGGTTAAGGACCCTTTTTATGCATACCCATCAAAGTTGTATGAAATTACATAATACACCCCTCAATGTTTCCCAATAATAGAAAAGGAAAAGGAAATTTCTGTGCAAAACAATAATGCTGACTAATCTGGTATTCAGTTGGTGGAACATATGCATTGATGTATACATCTGTGCGATAGCAAAAATATCCTTTCTATGAACATGAGTGAAAAACACCTTCGGAATATTGACAAGTATTGTGTCCCTGCCACATCATTATATGCATATTCAATGTATGAAGGTTTGTTGCCAATCCACACTTTTTGAACACTTATCTTTATAGCATGCACTTATTTGTTGGTCTATTTCCTTTCCTTAAACTTCTTCCCCAGACTAAAAGCCATTTACAATTTATTGCTCTTATACCTTGTATCTATAATTTGTGCAGGTTGCACTCAGCTGGGCATTTGCTGGACGCTTGTTTGGGGAATGTAGGGTTAGGTTATCTAGAGCCGACCAAAGCCTACCATTTCCCTGATGGGTATGATTCAAATCATTTGTGAAGTGGAAGGGCTATTGTATTTTTTCCATGTTATACTTGCTATATCGTGTGTATGGATTATTGAACTTTAGAAGTTGTTGATCGCAGAACATGTGGATCTATGTCAGTGTTTTAAAAAGCACACCTAGGCGCGAAGCGAGGCAAGGCACAGGGTTGGCGCTTGAAGTAGACGAAGCGAGGCGCATTTCGAGAAGCGCACGTAAGGCACTGAGGCACGCGCCTTTCACCTAGGCTCAAAGCGCACGCTTCGTGCGCTTTGGTTAGGGCTGATCTGTTTTGTGTTTGTGTACTAACCACATAGGATTAAAACTCTTATACAATACAAATTTGTTGGTGAGCTTCTTCGAATCGATTGATCTGAGCTTCGACGTCAACTGATCTGAGCTTCTTCAAGTTCGTCCCTGCTTCTTCTCTTCTGCTTCGTCTTCTCTTCTCCTCTCTTCTCTTCTCTTCTTTCGTCGTATTCTCTCTCGCTTCTATCTTGCTCACGATCGCAATCTCTCTCGCCGATTGCTCTCTCTCTCTCTCTCTCTCTCTCTCTCTCTCTCTCTCTCTCTCTCTCTTCTTGATTCATAAATAATACATTATATAATAACAATTACATAATATATAATATACTTATAGATAATATATAAAACATAATATATATTTATACATAGTAATAAAAAAAATAAACACATGTATGTAAAATAAAATAAAAAAATTAATTGAAACACATTATTTAAAAAATATAATAAATAAATAAAATGATATATATATATTAAAAAAATTAATTGTTTTTTTTCTTCTTCTCTTCTCTTCTCTTCTCTTCTCTTCTTATTAAAAAAATTAATAATATACAAATTAAATATTTGCTTATGTTGAAAATTGTGCTATATTAATATTTTGCTTAACTTTTATAATTTGCGCCTCGCTTTGGTGAGGCGCGCACCTCGCCTTGCGCGCCTCAGCGCTTAGGCTCCAGGTGACCTTGGCGCCTCGATGCGCCTAGAGCTTTTTAAAACACTGGTGCAAAGTCTTCAATCGCATGTAGTACAAGTCTCTAGACAAGATCTTCAAAAAGCTATATATATCTTTAAAAACATGATCATTTGCAAGAAAGTATAAAAAGCTGCAGTGGTGGGGTAGATTTGCTTGGACATCTAAACTTTCTTTTGTAACTATTAAATAGTTATTAGTACGTTAAATATCCATTTAAGGATCTATTTATTTCCAGTTCTCGTGTTGCAAGTTTAGATGAATATTATTAGATGTAAAGAACATGGAAATTAAGGAAGACTTCGATTATTACAAAGCCAGTGAAGCCATGTACTCCTACCCAACCAGTTGGATCCTTTTTGCACTTATTGTTTGTAAGAAAAAAGGATTTCTCTTTAAACAATCATGAATATTATTTGTACAGCATAAGATGCAGTGTATGATACACCAATATCAATATGTGTAGTGTGTGTATTGTAATGCATGCAATCAATCACCATACCAATGTTATTAAAGGCGCGCCTAGGCCCAAGTCCCATCTAGGCCCAAGGTTTGCGCCTTGTAGTGTTCCAGGCCAAGCGCGACCTCGATAAGGCACGCCTAGGCGGCCCAAGTCCCGTCCAAGACCAAGGTTTGTGCCCTATAGTGTTCCAGGCCAGACGATTATGATTGGCACCTGATTGGCCCAAGGCTTGCGTCTTGAGGACTTTTTTTATTGTTGCTTTAATTAGTTTTGTTTAAAATCTGACCATTGATTTAATATGGTGCAGCTACAGAAGAGCCCTACTCTTGTAACATATGCCAATACATTGGGCATTTAACCCCAAATCAATGATAGAAGAAAAATTAGCCCTAATTCTTAATCTTCAACATATACTAAATGTTTAACATTTTATTTTGTTTATGTTGAATCCTAAATTATTTACTTATATTAAATTATATATATATTTTCCGTACATGGTGCGCCTCACTTCGGCATCCTGCGCCTCCCCTTGCGCCTTGAGCCTAGGCCTTAGGAGACCTTGGCGCCTTGGTGCACCTATCACCTTTAATAACACTACACCATACATTTTAGTTTTATAGTCAACTATGTTGTATATGATGCCCTTTTGATGCACCACTTGGTAAGGCATAAAATTTTTACCGGTTGTGTTGACTAACATAAAGCTGGTCCTTCATAAAAGCATTTCTTGTGGGATCTAGTGCCTTCTTCTGAAGGTTTCTGAATTATGGGCCTGTTTAGCTTGGCATGAATTACAGTTTTGGTGGACTTGCTTGGCTTTGTATGAATAACAGTTTGGTGTTGCCTTGTTGCAATGATAATTTTAATTTTTTGTGAATCATGTCAAACAATTTGGTGATTAGTGAAAAAACCTTCTTCTTTTGAGAAGACAAAGAGGGCATGCCATGTAAAAATATGCAGATGCTTATGCTCAACTATCTGTTTAATTATGAAAGATCTCAGAGCTCTTTCCTGCCTTTTTTCTTTTCTGAACTACTGGAAATTATGTTTCTAGATTGCTATTTGCATGTTGATACATTTCTGATCAAGGTGTCAAGTTGTTTTTGTTTGTGAGTCTGGTTTCTCGGAATTGGCATTTATGAATTCATGTTTTGCCAGGCCATATGTTGAATATAAAGGTTCAGTTCCACAGAGTGAAATGCAAATGAAGCAAAAGGAGTTAGAGATAGAAGCTAATAAATTAATTTCTAAGGGAGGGAAAGTATGTTTAATTTCTTTTTCTTCTCTTTTTTTTTTTTCTTTCTTCATTTCTTCTCTTTCATATGTAATCTATTTGTTGAAATACTTTCCATATTTCTTCAGGTTTCTGCTGCTATTTTACCATATGAAGAAGCTTGTGAGCTGTGTGGTGGCTGCCTTCCTGATTACATCCCAAAGGTGAAATTTTGATCAATCCAATCTACAAGCATCATCTCTTTGTGTACTGATGCACTTGACAAATAACAGGTTTACCTTGGTGTAATGTTCCTATAATGCAAAGAACATATGAAGTTTATGTTTGCAAGGCCTCATAGATGCTTTGCCAAATATCCATGGGAAAATTGGAGGATCAGACCTTCCGATGTGACCTAACATAAAAAAGTTATCAGATGTTAATAGTCCACCATTTTTTCAGCACATCTCTAAATGTCTTTTTTAACTTAATCCTTGAATAGTGTGACCACCGATTCAATGTAATTTGATCTATTATATCAAATTCACAGTTTGAAATGTCATCTGTAGTCATAAATGTGGCCAGTATCAGTGCATTGTTGTTTCTCTCTAATATTTTGTTTTTGTGGCCGAGTCCTTAAGCTCCGACAATTCAGTAGGATCCGATTTAAAGTGAATTATAGGTTGAGACTAATTCTTGCCTACTGTTGTAACTCATGCAGGGAAGTACTCCTCGGATTGTGAAGTTAGGGGACACTCCTGGCTGCCCTTGTGGGGGTACACACGTTGCTGATATTTCAGAGATTTTGAGCATGAAGGTACTGATATTCATTTTTTTTTTAAAACTTCCAATTGATATTGATAGATGATCACTGCATTAGTGAGAGAGACTAAGTTGAAAGCCTATGATGACCTATACACTAGACTAGATAGTAAGGAGGGAGAGAAGAGGATATACAAACTTGCTAAAATAAGAGATTTTAATAAGGTTAAGTGCATCAAGGGTGAGGACTCTAAGGTGTTGGTGAAGGATGAAGACAGGTGGAAGAATTATTTTGAGAAGTTAAATGAGGAATATGGAGGCAGGTCAAAAGGGGAGGAAGTTGGCAGTAATAAAGAAAATCAGGATTATAGGTTCTATCGTAGGATTAGGGACTTTGAAGTGGAGTTTACACTTAAGAAGATGAAATTGAATAAGGTTTTAGGACCCAATGATATACCTATTGAAGCGTGGAAATGTTTGGATAAGAAGGGGGTTGTTTGGTTGACTAGGTTATTTGGCAAGATTTTGTTAACTAGGAAAATGCCAAAGGAGTGGAGGAAGAGTATTTTAGTGCCAATATATAAAAATAAAGGAGTTGTCCAGAATTGTAACAACTATAGATGAATCAAGTTAATGTGTCACACAATGTAAGTGTGGGAGAGGGTGATGAAACGTCGATTGCGAGATATAACAAATGTGTCAGAGAATCAATTTGGGTTTATGTCTGGTAGGTCAATAATGGAAGCGATTTATCTTTTGAAAAGAATAATAGAAAAGTATAAAAAAAAGGAAAAAGACATTCATATGGTTTTTATTGATCTTGAGACAACATACGATAGAGTGTCTCGGGATATAATTTGGTGGATGATACAGAAGAAAGAGGTGACAAAAGGTTACATTGATGTGATTAGGGATATGTACGAAGGTCTAGTGATAATTATTAGATCGACTGTTGGAGAGACAAGTGAATTTTCAAATTATTGTGGGGTTACACCAAGGATCAACTTTAAGTCTATCTTTTTGTTTTAGTTATGGATGAGTTGACATGCAATATTCAGGATGATATGTCATGATGTATTTTTTTTGCAGATGATATCGTGTTAGTGGATGAGACTAGAGAATGAGTTAACATCAAGTTGGGGATTTGAAGAAAAACACTTGAATCTAAAGGATTTAGGATAAGTAGAACTAAGACTGAGTATATGGGGTGCAATTTTAGTAACAGTCCCAATAGAAGCAAAGAAGAAGTGAAGATTGAGAACCAAGAACTACCTAAGAGTGAATATTTTTGTTATTTAAGATTGATTATCACAACGACTAGGGAGATTGGAGCGGATGTGGTCCATAGAATTAAGGTGGGGTGGCTTAAGTGGAGGAGTGCGTATGGAGTACTGTGCGATAAACGAATAACTATTAGACTAACATGGAAGTTCTATAGAACGGCTATTAGACCAGTAATTTTGTATGAGACAGAATGTTGGGCAACTGAGAATGTAGATAAGATGAGTGTTGCTGAGATGAGAATACTAAGATGGATGTGTGGCAAGACTAGAAAAGATAGAGTTAGGAATAAGTGTAGAAGATAAGTTGAGAAAGAATAGATTGAGATGGTTTGATCATATACAACGGAGACCAACAAAGGCAGTAGTGAAAAGATGCGATACAGTGACGGTAGATGGGTGTTAGGGGAAGGGATAGACCTAGATTGACGTGAACTAGTGTAGTAAATAGAGATATGAATCTCCTTAATTTGATTAACGAAATGCCGTTGGATAGAGTCGAATGGAGAAGAAGGATTCATGCAGCCGACCCCATTTGAGGGGACTTAAAGCTTGGCTTGGCTTGGTTTGGTTTGGTTAGTCATATTTTGTTATAATATGTTACATCCTCTTACTTTGCAAACCCAGGAACAATGCATAATGGTTTTTCATATTACCATACTATGCCCAGGGTAAGCATAGCTTATTATTAGATGCACCAATTGACTCATTGTTAAGAAATGGATTAGCTGTTCCATGTTTTTATCTTCCGTTGTTGTCCATTAGTTTCCACATTTCATCATCTTTGAGTTTGCCAGCTTGTGTAATTTTCTGCCAGCTTGTGATTTGTTTTCATATCTTGTTCAGGTTTCTCAAATGCGGACAAAGAAGGGAATGACAAAAGTTTTTTACAATGTTGGATCCTAGACTGGCGCTTAAACCTGCATTTGTCATTTATATCTAGAAGGTCTGCTTCTTTGGGGTCGAAAGGCAAGTGTTATAGGAAACTTTGTGATGGCTAGTCAGTTCATCGGTCCACTTACAGGAAATCAATATTAAAACTGTGTCAAGATAAATTAAAAATACTTTGATACATTATTCATCATTTATGCAGAACCTCAAACTTCTTTGTTATCTTCGTGTAATTTCTCGAAGTATGGAGGGTATAAAGTCTTCTATTTATTTAGAGATTGTTAAACAAGGAAATTATACAAGCGATGCTATCACACAAATAAACGGTGGAGATTCATTTGTCCGAGCGCTGAATAGTTTATCCTCTTGTCTACTAATGGTGGATAAATATCCAACTTGTCAATGTATAGTATGCGCCAGTGCCAACTCACATATCAACTTGTGACCCAATTATCAAAAATGCATGCATGAGAATCTATTGAAGTTATCTACACTAATGATCACATCAAGATTTTTGGAATTCTATCTATCACTCACCATCTCCAAATGGATGGTCACAATGTGGTAAGTTTGCCAGTGCCAATTCACATATCAACTTGTGACCAACTATCAAAAATGCATGCATGAGAATCTATTGAAGTTATCTACTCTAATGCTCACATCAAGATTTTTGGATTTCTATCTGTCTATCACCATCTCCAAATGGATGGTAACAATGTGGTAAGTTTGGTTGGCTACTACTAAGAGGTGTATTAATTTGGCCCACAAAGAAAATGCATGGCCCAGTAGGGATCTAATTTGTGGCTCGAATTATGTTTTTCCTCCACTAGGATACCACCATATCTACTATCTAGACTTGTTTTAATGTTCATAAATAATGGTTACATATCATATATATGTTGGGGAAAAAAAAATAAAAAAGTGTGCTCAACCTAGGGGTGCAACTCGGGCGGGTTCGGTCGGGTTGGGGGTCTGCCCAAGCCCGACCCGAATTGTATTTGGCACTGCCCAAGCCCGCCCAAGCCCGACCACGAACCCGAACATTGTTGCCCAAGCCCGGCCCAAGCTTTGTATTTTGAACTCGGGTTGCCCGAATTGCCCGAGTTTAGAAACCTGTAGGTAGATCTAAGGGTAGACATAAAAGATGCTAATCTAATGGTAGAAAACTAACCAAAAAAAAATAAAAAATAAAAATTAAGACTAACTCTTTTACTTAATAGAAGACAGGATGCCACCATATCTACTATCTAGACTTGTTTTAATGTTCATAAATAATGGTTACATATCATATATATGTTGGGGGAAAAAAAAATAAAAAAGTGTGCTCAACCCCAACTTACAAAAAGTATTTTTTAAAATAAAGACGAAAAAAAAAAAATTAGATAAGTCCAAAAACGTTGTCAAATGAAGCCCCACACAATCCTAGTCCATCAGCCTTCACCCCAAAACCTCTAAGACCAACTTACAAAAGCCAACCTAGCAACCATAACAATAACAAAATTCTTTAATTTTTTTTTACTATAAAAAGATATCAAATTTATCTAGATATTTTTATCACAAGAATATTTCAATAATTACAGTGATTGTTTGGTTTCTTTACTTTTAAAAAAAAAATTAATAATATGTTTGGACAGTTACTACAGTGATTAGTTATTTTTTTGAGTAAAAAAATTAGGGTTTTTTTTTTAAGGTCCCTCGTATTAAGATTTTATAGCATAAAAGACATCAAATATTTTTATAATGTCTAAGGTCCCTCAAGATAATCCAGAGAAAATTCACGTCACAGAGAAAATTGGTCCAGAGAAAATTCACGTCACAGAGAAAATTGTTCTAGAGAAATTCTGGATTATTCCAGAGAAATTTTGAAAATTTCTCCAGACAACGTAGCAACCCTTTCTTCAAGCTACCTTTGCTCTTGCTGAAAATCCAGAGAAAGTTGGAAAAGAAGAGGTTGTCAAATTTCTCTGGACAACATTGAGGACTAGTTCAATCCAAACCAGAGAATTTCTCTGGACTAATCCAGAGAAAATTCAGTTTAAACCCGAAAATTTCTCTGGACCAACCCAGAGAAATTTCAGTTCAAATAAGAAAATTTCTCTTCACCAATTCAGAGAAATTTCAGTTCAAAGCAGAGAGAAGGTCATTTCATTGAGTGAATAAGCAACAATAGCAACCTATATATATATATATATATATAAATATTAAAATGTGTTTTTGTGCAAAGAGAAATCAATTAATGAAATACAATCTTGAAAGAAGCTTTGAGAGCGTAGCACCACCAGATCTGTTTTTTCTGTCAAGGTTCGGCATCGCCGAAACATGGACGGCGTTGGTGATGGAACGATCAAGTTGGGGACTGTTCCATTAAGGAGAAGAGACTCGACCACGGCTAGTTTGAGTACTGCTAACTCTAATCTCCCTGGACCTAATTTAAACCTTTCTAATCTTATAATTGCCTTCTCAAACAAAGGTTTCACTGCTAAAGAATTGGTGGCTCTTTCAGGTACATCTACTTAATTCATAACAAATATTCTTCATAATTCTTTTCCAAGTAATTAGCTTTAAAAGAAAATCAAGAATTGAAACTTTGATACTTGTTATTGTAGGATCTCACACAATAGGCCAAGCAAGGTGCGCAGTCTTCAGAAGCCACATCTACAATGACACCAACATAAATGCAGAAGAAAACACAAGAACCGAAGATGTCGCGTGAAGAAGAAGAGGAGATGATGAGGGAATTGGAACGCAAAGAGAGAGAGAGAGGAAGTGTTGCTCTGCAGTACAGGATGAGAGACACAAAGTTAAATTTCTCTGATATATGTTTAGGGACTTTAGACATCAAAAAATAATTTTATGGATCTCTTCCATTATGAAAAGTGGGAGAGGGACCCTAGACTAATTTTTTCAAAAAATTAATATGACATTTGATTTTTTTATATAATATCATACAACTTTTTTTATTTTACCTCAAAACTTATTTTTTATTTTTTATTTATTTTTCACATTAATAAAAGAGTAGTGAAAAATTTTAAAGAGCAACGACACTATAAAAATCTAGAATTTATTCAAAAAAAAAAATCAATCACTATGTTTGGTTCTATTTTTTTGAATAATTTTTTTAAAAAGTGATTTGAAAACTCTATTTTGAAAAAGGATTTTTGTTTGGTTTTCAAAAAAAATCTATCATTGCAATTTCAAGTTTTCCTTCAATTTAAGAGGAGAGACAATTTTGAAAAAAAAAAAATTGTTATATCAAAAAATACTCTCATCTTAGTTTTATATATATATATATATATATGTGTACCTGCTATATATGTATGAAAAAATAATTTGGTATGTAACCATTTATGAGTACATATCCTACCATTAACTGTGTGACTTTATCATAAAATTTTTGTTCATTTCAATCACAGAAAACGTAATTTTTTTTGTCCAAATTAGCATTAAAATAATTTTTGGAAAATTTTTTTTAAGGTCCCTAATAATAATAATTTAGAGGATAAAGGACACAAAAAAAAAGAGTGATGCATCATGTCCCTCAACAACATGGCGCGCGTTTTTAATTATTTTGTGGACCAAAATACCCTTCCCAAAATCAACACAGAAACGAAACTCATTCCGACGCCTAAGTTCCATTCCGAGCATCCAGCATCTTCACGAACAAGAGAACAGTAAAATTAGGGTTTCAATATCATCTTCACCATCGACATTAGAGGTTCGTTATCTTCTGCAAAAATCATTCTCATTCCTTCATCACAAATTTCTCTGACCTCGTTTTCACTGTTCATCGTCATCTCAGTTCATGTTCGTCACGTCGCATCTTCATCTTAGGCCATATCAGCTCGTCATTCAAGTTACATCCTAACTCTGGTAAGTTTTTCTCCAATACAACTAGATTTTCTCTGGAAACACAGTTAATTGCATTTTATATTAACCTCCATAAATTAGAGTTTCAATTTCGTAATAAAAAGCTACCTGAATTTGAAAAAAGTTATTTATGTGTGCTTTGAACTTATTCTTGAACATGTTTGTGTGATTTTATCTGTAAATTTCTCCAGCATTTGAATTTATCTGATTTCTGCTTGATATATGTTTCTTCTTTCAATTTTCTCTAGCATCTTTATTTTGAAAAAAGCAATTTTCTGTGTTTTCAGCTTATTCTTGAACATGTTTCTATGATTTTGTCTATAAATTTTCCTGCTCTGTAAATTTCTCTGTAATATGTATTTTTAATCGGAATGTCTATCTTTTTCTGGAATGTCTATTACTCTCTTGTCTCTGTCTAAGTTTCTCTAGTATTTATAAAATTCTCTGACCACATCACATCACTTTCCTCCTTTGTGTGTCTCTATCATGTTTAATTTTCTCTGGCATTTTAATATTATGGACTAGAATTAATGTTTCTTCTTTGAATTTTTTCTGACATGTGTATTTTGAAAAAAAGTTATTTTTCTGTGTTTTGATCTTATTCTTGAACATGTTTCTGTGATTTTGTCTATGAATTTCTCTGCTTTGTAAATTTTTCTGGAATATGCATTTTTCTCTGGAATATCTATTACTCTCTTGCCTCTGTCTAAGCTTCTCTGGTATTTATAATTTTCTCTGACCACATCACATCACTTTCCTCCCTTGTGAGTCTCTATCATGGTTAATTTTCTCTGGTTGTGTATGTAAATTTATCTGGCATTTGAATATTATGAATTGAAATTTTCTCTGGAATGGAAATTTCCTCAAGAATGTGTAATTTTTTCCGGAATGTGTATTTTTCTCTGGTATGTTTATTTTGTTCAATACTTGGTTTTAATGTGGTGTAATTTTCAGTAGCATGTTTACATTACTTTGTTTATTTTATCTTGCTAATTGTGGAATGGAAATTTTCTTTGGCTTGCCATGTTTACTTTTCTCTGTCATTCATTTTCTCTGGTATGTTTACTTCTATATGTAATTTTAACAATTATTGAAAATTTCTCTCCCATGTTTATGGTGCTTTGTTGATTTTCTCTGACATTTAATTTTTAATGTCCAATTTTCTCTAGCATGTCCAATTTTCTATAATTTTCCCTTATCTGTAATTTTCTTTGACATCTCCAATTTTCTCTTATCTGTAATTTTCTCCCTTATCTGTAATTTTCTCTGACATGTCCAATTTTCTCTGGCATGTTCAATTTTTTCAGAGATTTAATGTTGACATCTTCATGTTTTAATCATTGTCTAGAAATGGCAAACGTAAAAGCAGTAAAACACCGGAAACACCAAGCAAGAAACAGAAACTCTCTTAGTCTTCTTATGAGCTAAGATAAAAAATCAGCAGCAAAACACTGGAAACACCAAGTAAGAAAGAATAACTCTCTCAGTCTTCTTATGATCTAAGATCAAAAACCAGCAGCAAAACACCACAAACTCCTCGCCAAAACACACAATTCCAAAGTGATGAAGCAACTAGCATCCAGATGAGTACCCCAACTTCAAAAGACTCAAGCTTAAGGGGGAAAAAAACCTGTTAAACTCCACAAAAAGAGAGCTCATTACAACATTCAATACTGATCCAACCTCTCATCTGTTGTTTCCTTTTTTCAAACACTTAAATTCAATTCAAACCAACTTGTAGAGCTTCAAAAGACCTCATTCTGGTATTTGATCCAAGCTCTAACCACTGGAATGATGGATCCAAGGAAATCTAGGAAATCTGATGATAATGTAGTTGCAATAATCCAATGTTACAATGAAAAAATAAAAGCATTCACAGTTGGTAAAAAGAACTTGACCTTCACAACAAATGACATGACCTTGATTTTTGGTTTGCAAAGAGGTAAAGGAGCCATGTCATTAAGATACTCTAAAAAGTCAAAATCTGCATTCCTAATGAGAAGATTCCAAATGGACACAAGGCTCACTGGTCCTGTTCTTAAAAATGCCTTGGTCAAAGCAATGAAAGGCAAGCAACCAACTGACTTCAAGGATGTAGCAATCATTGTTACATTGTACTTGTGTCTCATCTTATTTTTTGCAACAAGTGAGAATTCAATAGGGTGGGTTTTTATAAAGTATGTGGAACCTCTTAAATCAATGAAACAGTATGATTGGCCAGAAGCAATCACATCAACATTGATTGACTCTATCATAGCATTGCACAAAACTCTAGAAAAAGTTACGGGGTGTGTCATTGAATTGTCAGTAAGTATAATATCTATTCAAATTTGTATTTATCATACTTACAAATTTGTGCGTTTAAAAAAATTTAATTACTTTAATTTTCATCACAATATTGGCTATGTGAACATGTAAATATCATTGACTCGGAAGATAGTAACACAACTAACTTCCCAAGATGTTCCAAGTGGAACCTGCAAACCTTGACGAAACAGCTGCAGAAGACACCAGTCCATTCTCTTGCACCTCGACAAGTTAGATTTCGAACACTACTGAAATTTCAGTGAAATTTCAAAATTTCTCTGACCACTGCTTTGTTTCCCTCTTTGTGCATTGAGTGATTAAGATCAATTTTCTCTGAACTATCAATTTATGTTTTCTTCTTTGGTTACCACTGGTTTATTTCTGTCATTGTAATCAATTTTCTCTGCAATCCAAATTTCTCTGACCACAATTGTAACACATTAACTTATATAACCTGATTGATTTTCTCTAATATCTGAATTATGTTGGTTGTTTCATAATTTTCTCTGGCCCATAAAATTGTTTTTCCTTGTGTGTAATTTTCTCTAGCCCATAACTTATGTGTCATGCATCTTTGATAAATACTGTTTATTTCTACCCTTCTAATGAATTTTCTCTAGAATCCAAATTTCTCTGACACAATTATAGTAAAAAATTAACTTGTGTACCTTGATTGATTTTCTCTGATATCTAAATTATGTTGCTTGTTTCATAATTTTCTCTACCTCATAAAATTAACTCCTTGTCTGTAATTTTCTCTAGCCTATACAATTTTCTCTGAAGTTTGTTTCCCATTAGTATCATTTAGATGAATTTTATTTTCCTTATTTGAATTTTTTCTCTCAGTAAATTTTGTAACATTTCTCTAATAAAAGAGCCTCCTGTTACAGATAGATAACAATGAGCTAGTCAAAAACCCATCAGAGGAGTTCTGTCTTGGTAAAAAGACGAAGAATGAATCAAAAAAGGCAATTGTCAAATTCAAGAAGACATTACAAGATTCATCTGAAGAATGAGGGAACGAAGAAGCAGAAGGCAACATAGAAGAATACGAAGCCAGCAATGGACAAGAAGAACAAGCAAACAGTGGAGAAGTAGACGCCAGAGAAGAAAGTGAAGAAATAAAAGCAGAAGACAAAGAACAAAATGAACAGAAAGAAGAAGACAATGAAGAAGAAGATGAACAGCAAGAAGAAAACAATGAGGAAAGTGATGAAGAAGAACGTAATGAGCCGATGGACCAACAACGTGATAGCATTCGTGGCTCAACAATACATCAGCCTCATGAATCTGAAGAATCAAAGGATGCCCAAATTGCTGATCTACGTCAAAGACTAAAGGCACTTTCTCAATCTAAAAAAGAAGAAGAGCGAAATTGGATTGAATTACTTGCTAAAAAGGATATTGCAATAAGAACCTTCACATCACTTAACTCAGAACTTCAAGAAAGAGACAGCACAATCCAAATGAAACTAAAGATATTGGAGGTTCAAAAAGAAGACAATACAAAAACAATTCAACAGTGGAGGGATTCAATTTTGGAGCTTGAAACTGAAAATGCTAAATTGCATGAACATGTTCAAGAACTATCCGTCCAACTAGCAACACAATCATACCGAACACCAACACAACTTCAACCACAAGCTTAGTGAAAATCTTGAGCCACAAAAAGTTATGTCCTTGTGTCAACATAACTCAGAGAAATTTCTATTTATTATAATTTTCTATGTCAATGGTAATTTTCTCTGGAAGTTAAATTTCTCCTTAACAAATTAGTTTTTTGTTGCTAATTTCTATTGATTTCTACTGCTCATTTCATTTCTCTGTATATTTTCTTATTCCATTTTTAGGGCTTGTT